CATCTATAGCTTTTCTTCTTCCTTCCTAATTACAACCCTTAAATAGAATTCGTGCCTCATATCGAATTTACCGAGTATCATAATTCCTCCAGGTGGTAAAGATACCTCGAGACAAGTGCTGGGCATAGAAGCCACAGGGCATAAATCTGCAAAGAAGTAAAAAGCTAACCTTTGCAAACAATATGGCTTCTCTCTCACTTACCAACTTTACATTTCCCTGTATGGCCCCGGAAGATGACTGGTTAGCCAGAGACGGGTAAGATTCCTCAAGGGAGGAACAACCTAAGACAGGCACAGTCGCAGGGGGGCCATCAGGTGAGAATTTGGGGATCAACAGAGGTGAGGCTCAGAACCTCACCCCCCCTGCTTTGAGAGAAATCTTCTGCATCCGTGGATGTCTTGCTGCCCTTGTCTAGCCTGGATTAATACTTAGTCCATAGGCACACACCTGATCATCTGATCATCTACATTTGCCTTCTTACAGCACTAAACTATGTTTTCTACCTTTATCTTGCATCTACCTACCACTTCAGCATTTTATTAAAAATAAAAATAATAATAATAATAGGAGAAATGTGGGATCAACATATAAATCAAGTACAAAAATCAAATGAATATTCATATTTGACCTGATGGTTTATAGGTCATATTGCATGATCAAAACCGAAAGTTTCTGTGATGAATGCCCTTGTACTGTTCACCATGTAAGAATTTATTCACTCTGTAAGAATTCGTTCACCATGTAAGAACTTGTTCGTTATGCTTCAGAAGATTGGAGACTGACGAGAATTAGGCTTGAGATGGATTAATGATTGTACATTGAGCATTGACCCCCCTATACTGAATTTTATTGTTGTTAACAACCATTTGATCAATAAATATGAGACGCCCTCTCAAAAAAAAAAAAAAAAAGTCCTAGATGGCATTTTCTTCTAATACACAGCTATTTCACGTACATTGAAGATCTACTGTTTAGTGTAGCCACCTCATCTTAACCAGATTTTCTTGCTGCAGCTTGTCCATCAGCCCTTATGGCTTCACATTGTACTTTTTTATTTTAGAAACAGTTATTTCATTAAACCTTATGAACCAACCTCTGCTAGCTTCAAACATTTCTTTGCACCTCCCTCACTGCTCTCAGCCTTCACAGACCTGAATAGAGGGCCTTGCTTTGGATTAGGCTCTGGCTTATGGAGATGTTGTGGCTAGTTTGATCTTCCAACCAGACCACTAAAACATTCTCCATATCAGAGATAAGGCTGTTTTGCTTTCTTATCATTCATGGGTTCACTGGAGTAGCACTTTCAATTTCCTTCAAGAACTTTTCCTTTGCATTTACAACTTGGCTCACTGGCACAAGGGACATAGTTTTTGGCTTATCTTTGTTTTTGATATGCCTTCCTCACTATGCTTAATCATTTCTAGCTCTTGCTTTAAAGAGATATGTAACTATTCCTTTCACTTGAACACTTAAGAGGCCATTGTAGGGTTATTAACTAGCCTAATTTCAATATTGTTTTGTCTCAGGAAATAAGGAGGCTGGAGGAAAGGGAGAAGGGGTTGGGGGTAGGACAAGGCCAGTTGGCGGAACAGTCAGAACACATAGTCATACAACCATTTATTAAATTTGCTGTCTTATATGGACATGGTTCATGGCATCCCAAAACAACTACAAGAGTAACATCAAAGATAATAGACCACCATAATATAATAATGAAAAAGCTTGAAATATTGTGAGAATTAACAAACTGTGACAGAGACCTGAAGTGATCAAATACTGTTTGAAAAATGGCAGACCGACTTGACTGATGTAGGGTTGCCACAGATCTTCAATTTGTGAAAAACAAAGTATCTGCAAAGTGCAATAAAATGAGGTATGCTTATAGGTAAACTGTAGTTAGCAAAGACAGTGAACAAAACAAAAACTATCCCAATATCATTCTCACTTCTAGTATTGGTAAAAATATAAAAGCTAAAAAGTTATCAACACAGTGTTGGGAGATTATGACACACATTTCATACACTACAGTTATGACTGGTATAACCTTCCCAACAAACTGAAACTGTGAATTTTATTGTTTGTAAACTAGACTTCAATTAAAATCAAACAGAAAACTAGACTTCAATTAAAACCAAACAGAAAACCTATCTAGACAAGATATGTAGCCAGTTCTGCACTATGAATCAAAATTAAATATTTACATATTTGACTTTTTATTTCTAGTATTTTATCCTATAAATATGAACTAAATCACATGTAGAAGGTTATTCACCACAGCACTGTTTTTAGTAGTAAAAGGCTGAAGCAATCTAAATGGTCATGAATAGAAGAGTAGTTAAATTATGGCATATCCATGAAATAATTAAACTCCTATTAAACAGAACAGACTGGTGGTTGCCATAGGGAAGGGGGTAGGAGGATAGGTGAAATAGGTTCAGGGGGAAAAAATTAGTGAGAACGTTTGATACCTTGATTTGGGTGATGGTTACATGAGACTATACACATGTCAAAATTCATCAAGTTGTACACTACGATTTGTACATTTTATTATACATACCTTAGTATGAAAAAATAAATTATGGTATATTTAAACATAGTATACATATAGCCATAAACAAATGACAAAGCACTATATGACAGATTGTAATGATCTCTAAAGTATTATTAAAGTATAGAACAGTTATTTGTTACTTGAGGGCAAAAACTACTAAAGAAAGATAGCAAAACACACACCTCCTTATATGTAAATGCATAAAACACCTCTAAAAGGACAAAAATTTGAATGTTGGCTGCCACTATTTGAGACACCAGGGAGAGAGAGACTCTCTACAATATATTTTTTGCACCTTTCCAATATTGTACTATGTGGCTTCAGTAGTTCATCAAAAAATAAATATAATTTAAATTAAAAAACACTTAATGTGTAAATATTCTCTTCCAAATAAAACTTAACTTCTTGATGAGAGAGCTTTAAGTACTACATTTGGAACATAGTAGGCAACTGTTTAGACTGTTTCAGGTGAAGGTGTAAAAGAACTAAATTGGAGGAATTGTTTTCTTTTACCTGTTTTATTCCTTACTTCCCAACTTTAAATAGCCCCATATTAGAAAAATCTATCACATCATTCAATTGTTTAGCATAACAACAAAAACAAAGAAAATAACATGAGCTATCAGTAGAGTAGCATGTGTTCATGCCATCCTGACCACCCCCACTCCATGTACCTTGTTCACTTGTAGAGAAGTTTCTCTATGGTTCCTGAAAACTGACAGTCTGAGGTACTACATTCTTACAACAAAACTCAGAAATGAGAGGTCCCCTGAAGGTTATTTATGATTACTTCAAAGCAATTAGATTTACCTGAGCAATGCCATGGAATACAAATAAAAGAAGAGAACAGACAAAGGCAGGTTTCACATTTTAACAAGAGTAATGTTTCCTAATTTTTAAAGGCTTGTCAATTGAGATGTGATGAAGGAACATCTATTAAAGAACATGATTTCACTGCCCAAATCTAAGAGATGGATATACAGTAGCACAATCTAAAACATTATATGCAGGAGAGAACCAAGATGGCGGCATGAGTAGAGCAGCGGAAATCTCCTCCCAAAACCACATACATTTCTGAAAATACAACAAATACAACTCTCCCTAAAATATTATATGCAACATAGTCAGCTTCATTTTGGGGCTTATCTTGTTTTCTAATTGACAGACTTGACAATACTCTACCCATTTTCCCCCTCCTTTCATTCTGCTGACAATAAATATTCAATTTAAAATTCTATTATTAGTACTATCCTCTTTTCTCATCTTACAGAACTTTCTACGCATATATTATAACTACATATTGCATACACTGATTACCCTTGATGTGTGCATGTTATCTTGGAAGCTTCTACAAAACCAAAACATGACTACTAGCCAGATACATGAAGGGTATATCACAAGAACTGAGTGGTTCATCTACAGCAGCAATTCCTCAATCATGGTGGTTCAAATGCAGAAATGTACTGAAAGGACTCATAAGATATATCACAAGTAATTCAACTATTAATGATAAAATAACAAAGTTTATGAATGATTTACTTTAAAAAATTAGAACAAATTCAAGATTTTTCCTATAGTTGTTTATTCTCATTTCATATTTTCATTCCCATGGATATTCTCAAGTGGGAGAAAAAGCAATGGAGTTACATTTGATAAATATTTGATAGTTTTGCCACTAATAAATTATTTTTATTACCTGTAGATTGTGATTTTTTTAGTTTACTTTTAATTTGACCAAAGGCAGAATGAAAAAGCATGAATAATACATTCAAGTTTACAGTACAATTGAGGAGGAATGTCAGTATAAACTTTGTTACTACATTAACATTAGTACAGAAGGTTTTTAAAATGGTAGAATAGGAGATAACTACAATTGCTGAATGAATAAGCCAAGCAGGAATCAGGAAGGGGGAAAATTTCAATATGGTATCTTTTACATCATGTCATATAGTAGAGTGTTCCTCTGAATAAATCTGCAAACAATATACCAATTAATTATTAAATTAGCTATTTTTAAAGTTATCCATCTCTTCTCTATTCCGTTACTATCAATTATGAAGTCATAATTACACTTGTATACCATTTTACATTACATAAAGTGCCTTCATATAAATTATTTCATTTGCTATTTCTAATATCCTAGAGAAGGTAGATATTGCAGGGAGCCTTAATTTTTACAATAGTTTTAGGTTTGTAACAAAATTGGGAGGAAGGTTCAGTGATTTCCCACATACCCTCTGCCCCTACAAGCATATCACCATTACTCACCAGTGGTACATTTTTACCAAGGAAGAACCTACACTGACACAGTATAATCACCCAAAGTCTACAGTTCACCTTAGGGTTCACTTTCAGTGTTGTACATTCCAAGGGTTTGGAATGGCAGGGATTATTTATTGGAACTATACAAAAGAAAAAGCAAAAATTCAGATAGGTGAAATCACTTACCCAAATCACAAGATTAGTAAGTAAAGGTGCAGGGATTTGAAATTAAATCTTCTAACTCCAAATGTCATGCTCTTTTCATTGGGTCTTACTGTGAAGAGAAGGAGAGCCTTGTTTAGAAAGCCAGCTTTTATAATACTAATTATATGTGTACTTCTTAAATCTCTACCTGCTATTTGGCTTTAGGTTTTCATAAAATATCCCATTTTAAATATTTCTTGAGCTTCAGAATAAAGCCATCCTATAAACACTTGTATAAGATATGAGTATTCAAACATCCCAGTATTGTTTGATCTCTACTTGGAAACATTATCAGCTCCCCTATGCCTAACTGGAACTTCCTTGATGTCCATGTAATGTCACAGAAACATGGAAGGCACATATTGTTCAATTTAACAAAAGCAGTTTAAGCAAATTTTCCATAGAATCATACCTTTTGCCTTCTACTAACATTAAGTTAAGGCTACTGACTTCAACTGACAAACTATTTTATTCACATAGATGTAAAACTTCATGTTAAAACTTGCTCAACACGAGGTTCATTCTAGCATAACTAGCAATGCTTCTTCTTTGAAATGTAAAGGATAATTGCAAACTTAAGCAAAGAGTAGAATCCTTCGTTAGTTTCATATACAGTAAGTTTTTGATATAATAAGAAATTCCATCTATAATAATGTTTTAAAATACAAAGAAATAGGTAATTGTTTTTTAATTTTCAAATGAGCAGAAACTGAGAACATGTCATGTGAAAAACCCCTATAATCCTACCACAGTAACTATGAACAATTTGGTGGATAAATTTTCCAATTTTCTAACGTATAACTCTATTATATAAATATATACCTTGTTTTAGAAAAATAAGATTACAGTAATGTTCTGTAACTTGTTTTTTTTTCACTTAACACTACATATTGGACATCACTCAAAGTCAATACATAAAGATGAATTCCTTGTAGCCTTTGCTCAAATTCACCTTCTCACACAGGTCTTTCCTGACCACCCTGTATCATTTATCCCCGCCTCTTTCCTGCTTTTTTCTCAACAGCACTTAACACCTTCTAAAATAAGCTGGCAAACATTTCTTGCAAAGGCCCAGATAATATTTTAGGCTTTGTGGGCCTTAAGGTGTCTGTCACAACTAGTCAAGTCTGTTACTGCAGTGCAAAACTATAGACAATACGCAAATAAATGGGCATGACTGAGTTTCAGTAAAACTTTATTTACAAAAATAGGATGCATACTGGATTTGGCCTATGGATCATAGTTTGCCAACCCTAGTTCTAAAATGCCATTTACTTATTTTGCTTTTTGTTTATTATGGGATGAATTGGGCTGTGTCCTCCTGGAAGACATGCTGAGGTCCTAATTGCTAGTACCTCAAAATGTGACTGTTTGAAAATAGAGCTGATATAATAATAGTTTAGATGCTGGAGCAGGATGGGTCCTTAATATGACTGTGTCATTGTAAGAAGAGACAGAAACACATAAAAAGAATGCCAGATGACAGGGGCAGAAATGGAAGTGATACTGCTGTAAGCCAAGGAATGCCAAGGAAAACTGGCTACCACTAGAAGCTAGGAAGAGACAAAAGATTCTCTCCAGAGTCTCAGAAGGACTTGTCTTTAGAACCTTGAGAATAAATCCCCATTGTTTTAAGCCATTGAGCTTGTAGTACTTTGTTACTGCAGCCCTAGGAAACTAATACATTGTCTGTATCCCCAAAATAGAACATAAGTACACAAGGCAGGGAATTTTGTTTTGTTCTTTGCTATATTTAGCATTTAGAATCATACCTGGCATAGTAAGCTAAAATATATTGTTGGATGAATAAACTTCCTTGTTGTGAACAGGTGCATTAACACATCAGTGTATACAAATACCATAATTTAACTATTCCCAAATCTTATATGGATGTAAGCTTTTATTTCTCTGAGAAGGGCTTAGCCTAGATTCCCCCTACCTGTGCCATAGTTTGGAAACTCTTAAGGGCATTAGGCTAGTGCAATCAGAAAGTTCACCTCATTTGTTTCCCATCTCTCAAAGTCACTGCCTTTCATCATCCAATGTCCAGTGTCTTGCTTCTCATTACTTAATGTATTTTTTCTGTTTTAGAGGTGTTTCAAGGCAGGAGGGTAAATCTTATTTTGGCCAAAAGTGCAAGCTGCATAGGCATTTGGATACCAAATCAAACAAGGATTAAACAGCATGACAATTGTTAAACTATTATGAATATTGGCATGAAAAAGCCTAATTTAAGTATTAGTGAATTTATTCTAGCAATGTATTTGAAAACAAAACAAAAACCTAATACTAACAGGTATTTAACCTAAAAATATAAGTATGGTCCAATGTGTGAGAAGGTATCAATGTTACCCACAACATTTATTAATAAAGAGTAAAACTGCACAACCGTTCCAATAGATGGTTGAAAAGCATCTGATAATATTCAATAACTGTTGACTTAAAATTTTAAAATAACAACAAAGTGTCAGAAAACTAAGACTGAAAGAAACCATCCCTATCTTGATGAAATATAACAGAAGAGAATAGACTGGAATCAGTCTGCTTGTGTACAAGTCTACTTTTTGTAAAACATATTAAGAAAGTTATTTAGTATCTCTCACTTTCATTTTCTTTATCTACAAAAATGAGGATAACACCACCACCTACTCGTATACTCCCTACGATTTTTGTGAAAATTAAGAAAGTCAATACACTCGAAGTGCTTAGAAACTATCTGGCTCATAGTATGTACTCAATGAATGGCTAACAGCTGTAATCAGTGCAGCTCTTGATATTGCCACCACAGTATTTCTATCAGAAACCTACAGTAAACAGGTTTTACTGTTTATTTAAAGATAAAAATCAAAATCATTCCTATTAAATCCTGGATTTAAATAAGATGCTTGGAATTATCACTTAATCACTGTTCTAGAGGGCTTAACCAAAAATATAAAAAAACAAATAAGATAAAAATGGGAAAAAAAACTTATAGATGATATGATCATCTATCAAGAAAAAGAATGAGAATAAAATGACAAACTATTAGACCTGTGGAGTTTAACATAATAGTTGAACAAAAGAGCATCAAACAATACAGCTCCTCCTATTCACCAGTAATAACCAATTAAAAATGCAATAGAAAAAAATCCCACTCACAATAGCATTGAAATCTGTCTAGGGAAAACCTAATAAGAACTATGCAAGAATTTTATGAAGAAAACTGTAAAAGCTCACTAAAAGGTTCATTAAGAAGACCTAAATATCATGGGATAAAAAAAAAACACACACACATAGGTAGAGAGAGTTCTTCACAAATTAATATAGTAATACAATTTTAACCTGAATTCCAAAGTGATTTAATAAGGAACCTTACAAACCAGTTTAAAGTTTCACATAAAATATGGCAGAATAGTCAAAAGCTGATTTTCAAAAAAGAATAAACATATTACTTGCAGTACCATCTATTAAGATATACTATAAAGCTATAGTAATTAAAACATGGCATTGGCATAGGAATAGACAACTAAATGCTACCAAACAAAAAGTCAAGAAACAGACCCAAGTATATGTAAGAATTTAATATTTGATAAAAAAGAAAAGTGTATCATTAGGGAAATAAAGGACCGTTCAATAATAGTACTGGGACAACTGGCTCCACAAGCAAAAAAAATGAAGAGCGCTACTTCATCACAGATACATATACTCCAGACTGATTAAGGACCTAAATGCAAAAGTAAAATTGTATGAGAACTGGAAGAAAATACAGAGTATGCCTTTTAAAAATTATCAACTGTTTTAAACATTTGAAAAGGTTTAAGAAATACTTTGATGATCAACCAACCACGTTCTTACTATAGCTTACGAAATAAAGCACCACAAATACAGCTGAAGCCAAATAAAAAGTTCTTGCCCTTAAGAAGTTACAAAAGTTTACAGAGGGAGAATATGCACAGAGTGCTAGAGGAGCACAGAGAATACCCAATTTAGACAGGGTCCAGAAAAGGGCCCAGTCATGAAGTAAGAGTAAAGGTTTTCTAAATAGAGAAAATAGCGTCACTAAGCTATATACATCATCATTGACTAACTGCCAAATGCAGATTACCAACAGCAAAATCCCAGGGCATGCCCGTCAACAAACCAGAGGTGTGCTATCTGAAACAGCTCTGATCAGTTTACTTTGTGTTAGGGATTGGGAGCACGAGAATACATACAACAGAACATCCAAACAAAAACAGATTGTGCAGAAGACCAACAGTAATGCACTATTCAGAAGTAATGATGAAACCAATTTACTTTAGAGCAAAGGATAAAACTGAAAAGTCTGAGTAAAAGAAAATGAAAATTCGGAGGCAGAATATTCAAATTTTAACAGAGCAATACAATTATTGTGCTGAAAGGAATTAAGCTGCTGCTCTGGATATGTAATATACATACATGCAGCTTGAAAACAATCTATGGCCTCATGTCAACAGATGTAGCTCTCTTACTCTTGATCAATTAGCTTATTTCTCATTAAATCTAAGCTATACTAGATAGACACAAAATAAAAGACTGTAGTCACTGTAAAAGTATCACAAGTGTTAAGCATTTCACATCATCAACCATTTTTGCTTCCTGAATTTATCGCATCTCCTGGTTTCTATGTAACCATGTCATGTGTTTGAATTAGTCCCTTTACCGACTTCACTAAATTTTCTCTGCTAGGTTTTATCTCCTGGCTGTGAATGTACCCAGAAATATTTGGCATCCACTATTCTTTTAAAATATCAACTTCTTTGTGGACACATAATTCAACTATCATCTTCAAACAAAATAATTTCAAGCCCTCTAGGAGCTTTCTTTTAATCTGACTATATATTATCATCTTGGCTATTCTGCCTCTGACTCAAATTTAACAGGTCTAAAAACAATACACACATATACATGTGCTTATGGACACACATATATATAAATGCACAATTTTTGAAAAAAATCACAGTACTATCTTTTCTCCCTATCTAAAAAACATTCATCCTTCTTGAATTGTCTGAGTCAATGGAATTCATCAGTCTCTTATCAATCCATTATATTCTAGTTTTTCTCACTTACAAATCTTATCCAATCATCTTTCATGTCTTTTCTATTTTTCTCTTCATGTCTTCCACTCTGCCATGACTGACCTGATTTAGATACTGATAACTGTCTTCTTGCTTCCAATCTCTTTCCTCCCTCCAAATCATGAACATTATTAGTGGATGAATCTCTGTAAAACCCACTTTAAACTTGTCACTCTCTTCCTCAAAAGCTTTTTAAAGGGTGAATAATAATGCCAAATAATTCTAGTTAGTATTTAAGAACCTAAAAATTTGGTCATCAGTGTGCCTAACTTACCTTCTCCAATATTTAAAATCTATGCTAAAAAAAATCCCCTCTAGTCAGACTTTTCCCTCAAGTTATGCCTCCACCATACTTCTAGAGAAAATAGCGAACAATCTGTTTTCTACTCTAATTACACTGAATTTATTTTTGTAGCTTTCTGTGGGTAAAATTGTAGTATTTCCAGAGCATCTCACCTGGCTTTAGTGCATATATATGCATATCAGAAGGTAATTACCTGGGCCACCGAACGCTTATCTGACCCTGAGAGGCTAGGGTGAGTGCTGATTTGCTTCTGCCCAAGCAGGAAACAGACGAGCCTCAGACTGCAGTTCGTAAGCAATAAACAGGTTTTAAACTTTATTTCTCCTTTTGACTGATTTCGGTTTTAGAGGTATTTTGCCCTAGGATTTCCTTTCTCCGGAGTTACACTTCCCAAACACAAAGCAAATATTTAAGCTCATTTTATTTGGCCTTACCATGTCATTCACAATTTGGTTTTACCTTTTAATCATTCTCTACTGGCCACCCCTATAGACTCTAAGCTCAAATCACAGCAAACTACTAGACTTTCTTTAACACACTTTGTTATTTCAGAGTTTGTGCTTCTATATATGCCATTTCCCTGACTCTAGAATGTCTTTTCCTGGACTGTGCTCAGTGGTGTTTATAACTAAGATGAAACATCATCTGTTCTGTGGAATTTCCTCCCACTCTCACAAACATCTTTGTCCCCAATGCACTTGTATATATCCCTAACACTGTACTGTAATTATTTATAAGTCTTAATATCCTCTGAATCTAACATACTTTGAGGCACATAGCCGGCAAAATAAGAGTGGGTTTTAAAAGACTTTTTTGGTATGGCCATATTATTCTAGCCACTGTCACTCAAGTATACAATATTAAGATAAGAGACAGTATAGTATCATGTTTTAGAGCACAGATTCTGAAGCCAGGATGTCTAGGTATGAATTTCGATCTACCATTAGCCATGTTGCACTGGGCAAGTTAATTAACCTCTCCGTGCCTCGGTTCTCCTCTTGGTCAAAGGAGAATAGTAAGATCTACATCATAAGGTTATTTAGATTAAATAAAGGCAAAGAGCTCAAAACAGTGAATGGTAAAAGTAAGCATTATATATATGTATTGGCTACTATAATAATATATCTTGGTTACTTCTGACCCTTTCCACATAGACTTCTATTTGGAATGGGCTCCCCTCGTGTCTCCCTTTATCCAAATCTTACCCAGGTTTCAAAGCTGACTGCTGGTAAATCCTTTGATCATTCCAACCCTCTCCCTAATTTAAATATCTATAGTATTTTCTGTATCACTCTGCATTTAATTAAAACTGCCTTGCATCCTTGTCATTTTTCACCTAATGGTTTTTCAACCTAATTTCTTTAAACTCTTTGAGGGTCTTGACTACCACTTAAGCATCTTTGTGAATTCTTATAGCCAATAGTAAGTGCTTAGTATTTGTTGTGTAAAATAACAAAGCTCAGTAGAAACTTCAACTCTGATCACACTGCCTTTGCAACCAAAGGAATGGAGGAGACTGTGAGAACATTCCATACTTCTCTGGCAGCCAAGATGCAAATGCATTAGGGCTAGGGAATTCTGACTCTCAAAATGAGAAGCTCTGAAACATCTTGAGGGGTGAGGGGGAATGTTCCTTGGAGAGGAATCATGGGGCATCCTTAAGTTTCCAAACCACAAACTGTGGCAGCGGATTCCTTATAAGAAAGGTGTTTAGCATTTCAAACTGACTGAGAGTACAGTATTTGGAATTACACGAATCCAGGTTTCACAGGGGCTCTGAGCCTCAGTTTCCTTCACTATAAAGTGAGTAGCGTTAACACCTGCTTCACAAGTATATAGGAACTGACATTTACTCTAACATTTAAATGAAATACAAATTCTCTTAGGAAAAGTTTAAGAAAACTGGAACACTGAAATTCATAAATAAAAATGAGAACACTGAACACATTTTTCATTACATACAAAAATGTACCAAATTAACTGGCAGTGGTATTTATAATATTCTAAATTACCTATGAGAAAATTAAACATGTACAGACGTACTGTCAATAATACAGATGAAGTGAGGTAAAGATTCCACTACTAAATTTATCCTCCTTACACTTTGTCCATCCGGTAACTTTTTTCTTCCACTTGTGATAAAAAACAAATGTTCAAAACTATTCCCGAAGAGAAATATTTGGAAAGCACAATTTAACTTATCAGGTTGGTTCTATAAATATACCATTCCAGTTTACAGTTCAAAAATACTTCCAAATAGGAATTAACATGAATTTAAGAATTTAAGATACTGGCGAACAGCTCACAGGATGATCTGAACCAGAATTTCAAATTAAGAGTTATTCCAACTTGAAGCTGGCAGTCAGTCACACAGTCTAAAGGGTTTGTTTACAGAACCAACTAAACCAAACACTCCAGTCTTTTAGAATACTCATCCTGGCATTCTATTAACTATTTTAAAGCAGTGTAATTGCTGAAATGCCAAATAGTACACAATTAAACCGAGATGGGTTTCCTTCTTAAGGAAAAAAGAAGTGAATGAAAGTGGCAAGTATTATTTTTAACCTGTGATATTTATTCAGTTTGGGGTTATGAATAAAATGCTGTTCATCTTCTGAAAAACAAAACCTTGCTACTTTGAATAACCTTTAAGCCTTGGGGAGGGGGTGAAACTTTAAGGACATGGATCTATCTGGTGGTGCCTTTAGAATACATTGGCATGGGATTCAGGAGGGCCCGTACGTATAAATAGCAAAAGAAGAGACATTAATTAAGAATGCTGATAAGAATGAACTTTCAGCAATGATGAAACGTTACAATTTAAGGATGAAAAGATGGTTTGGGAGAAAGGGGCATTAACCGTCGGGTAGAAAATGAAGAGTCAAAGGCGGGGCTAGTGGAATTAATGGAAAATGGAATGGAGATTAGGAAAAAAATGGGGATTTGGTAACCAAAGAGCAGTATGATCCAGAAGTCAGTTCGGGGGTGGGGGCTTAAAAAGGGTTCAGGGTGTGTGCGCGTGCGTGCTGGAGGTAAGGTCTGTACTTCGGTTTGAGAAATCTAGGTGACAAAGTTGTGGAGATCAAATTCGGAGGACTGGGTACAAGGAGAGGCGGGAATGTGGGGATTTCCAGGCTGGACTAACAGGTCTGGGGCGCGCGCAGTGTCGGCGCCCTTCTCCCGGGAGAGGGTGGTCTTCTCTGTGCCGGGTTCCCGGGCTCCTCCGTCCGGAGCGAGCCCTCACCTCCCGCCACCCGGCCCTTCACTCGGCCACGGCCCCTCCTCACCTCAGGCCGCGGCGCCTCGCTCCTCCACGTCCCCACAGCCCACGTCCCCCTAGGCGCCAGGTCACGCTAGGCCAGTCGGTCGGCCGGTAGCGGCCCCAGCTCAGCGGTGCCCCGGCGTTCCCCGCGCGGCTCCGCGGGCCTCTCGGATCCTCTCCCAGCTCCGGCTCGCTCAGCTCCACTTCTAGCAGACGCGGCACGCGGCACCCCCTCCCGCAGTGGGGCGATGCGCCCCACTGACCCCGCCCCGCGGCTCTCGCGCCGCGCACCGCCCTCGGACTTGGACCTGTACGTTGATTGGCCCCCGCGAAACCCGGCGCGCCGGGGCATTGGCCCAGCGGCCGCCCTGCTGCGAGGGGGCGGGACGCCAGGCGGCTGCGATTCCCGTAACGCGACTCCCGGCGTCCCGGATTCCGGTGGCTGCGCCTGTGTCGCCTCTCCTAGGCGAGATCGAAGGGTTCCCCCACCTCCCTTCTGCGGGCGGAAGGAGCGGAATGTCCCACTTTTCTGCAGAATATCGGGGTCGTGAACTGAAGCTGGGTGCTCTCCGCGCCTGCCGGCCTGCCTTCGCAGCCTTCCCCGCGGGGCTCAGAGCCTCGAGGGACCAGCGGGCTCCCTTAGGGACAGGGCAGGCGTGGGAGCTCCTCGGAGGAAGTGGGGGCTCTGTGGCGGGGACTGCACACTGGGTAACCGCAGATTGCGGCGGCCGCCGCCGTTCTGCTCCGGTCTAAGTCACTATGTAAAGGAACCCTGCCACGGTATTTATTAAGTTAATAAATGAGTTTGGGTGTGATTGATCACTGAAACAGAGCTGGAGACACGCCAAGAAACTAGTTTTTCTTTGTGGTTTGTACCTTTCAATTTGTAATAAAAAATACAGTGTAAAAGCCAATTTCATTACATCCCCCCACTCGCATCCGCTCCCGCTCCCCCCGCCTCCCCGCCACTTACCCCCACCCTGGAAAATGGGCTTTCATGTTTATTTTTTCCAAAGCAAGATGAGAAGCTCAAAAGATAAGCTGGCGCTGCGGGGTGCCGGCAAGGGAGGGGTTGACCTAAAGGTTTTGAGAGTGTGCTTCTAAAAACCGAAGCCGAGGTTCTTTTAGAGAAGAATGGCAGGCTGTAGGAGGTCAATAATGATCTAATGGACTTGAACAAATTTTAACAGACAACTTTAGTGTTCTAAATTACATTTAGGATCAGACCGAGTAAAACAGACCAAGTTTTGATCTCTTAATTAGTGATCATATACGTTTTTAAAAGGCACCGAAAAGTAGTCCCAGGCATGATTGGAGATGGTGTTGCAGGAAAGACAAAGCCCCATTGTGTTCAGCTCTTGCTGCACCCTGTCATTCTATATCTAATCTACACATTCTATATCTAATCTACGGAGTGTGGCTGGGTTATATTTTAGCTCTCCCATTTATAAGGGTGTATTTTAAAACAAAGTTTTATAAAATGTTGTTAAATTAATAAAATTTATTTAGATGTAGCAAGTATTTGTTTAAAGGCAATGGTATAATGGTTAAGTGTGTCTTCCGGTTCCAAATTGCCTCAGTTTGAATCCTGGTGCTGTGAATTCCCGTGTATGTGAGTTTCTTTATCTGCAGAAAGAGAATAATGGTACCATCCTAATAGGACTGCTGCAAGAGGTAAATACATGAGTTAAAATACATGAAGTGCTTAGCACATAGTAGGTGCTCAATAAATGTCAGCTTAGCATTATTGAACATCTATGTCAATGCTTCCCTAACATTTTGTATTATACCTTACGTTGAAATGATGATATTTCTCTGGCACAGGGAATAGAAGAAGATGATGCCGGGGTTCTTGTTTGCGGAGCTGAAGAATGAGCTTCACAAACAGTCAAGGTAGGAGAGCAAGGTACAGGCTTTTATTTAAAGATACAGTGAAAGGACAGAGCTCCCGGCTCACGCCAGGAGGGGACAAGAGAGGCCGTAGTGGTACGTTGTCTAGGGGGTTTTATAGACAGCTGAGGATTTTTCGAGAACATGAAAAAACTTAGGGGTGTGGACTTGTTAAGTGATCCCTGAATATTTAGAATTAACTTAACACAAGTAACTTCCTCTGATGATTTCTCCCTGAGATACCAGCATCTTGGTCTGGGAGCATAAGAAACAAGGCCACCTGCTCAGTCCCCAAGGTTGGCCAAGGTATTGTTTGCTAAAGAGTAAGTTAAGAATTTCTAACGTCTTAACTTCTTGAGTATTAAAATGCAATCTTATCTTTAAGGTGGAATCCTTCCTGCCTTTTACTCTGTTGTTTATGCCTGGGCTAACCTGCTAAATTAGTTGCCCAGTTTGCAAAATCACTTCATCAGATCTGAAGGAGAAAGACAGCACTTTGGCCTGGGCCTTTTAGTATGGTAAAGAGAACCTTACACATGATTATAAATGGTTAGCATAATAAAACATGTGCTATTTATCTGGGGAACATTAACTGATCTTACTGAAGAATGATCCTAGAGCTCAATGTTTAACATAGAGTTTTAGCAGGGGGGTTCCTTGCAAATATCCTGCGGTGCTTTTCCCCTCCGGAGGCCCTCACCCTATTCTGACTACATTTATGGTCCCTGTCTCAAGGGGATCAATATCTCATAGCACACTAGCCTGCCTTGCTCACTGGTCAGAAAAGCAAAGGACTCAGTTAGTGCTTTTGTGGACTAACTTTATATTGGCTTAGCCTTACCGTTAAGAAACTCACATTTTGTGGGGATGGTTAAAGTCTTAAGCTAAAAGAATGAATGAGTATTGGAGAAAGATTTTTCAGTACAGGAAGAACCCTTTTCCCCTCTGCTGCAATTACCTGATTTTTGTAGACACCTCTGTAGGGTATTGGCTCCGAAATGACCACTTTCAGGTTAAAGGGTATGTCATTAGCCCTGTTGAAATGCAAAAGTAAGTGGGAATAAGTGACAGCAATTGAGAATTTGCCATTTATGCCTTAGACTTGGGATTTTACATATGTCAAACGCAGAGGGTGGGGAAGCTGTACAATGAGAGGGTAACATGAGGACATTGAGGTTACCTACAGAGGTCACTAAGTGAACAAAGCTAGGAACAAAATGCTACAGAACAAAGGTGATAAATGCCGGGGACAAACTTTGCCTGCCTTGCTAATCTGCATAGTTCTGGAGCTGACCAGTTTAGCCATTGACTTCCTTGACTGTGTCTGACTGAGTTTCTGAAGCTCTGTGTCAGCCTTGGAATTATCTCCATGTCCTGCATCAACTTAATGATTTCAGCATCCGAGATAATGACTCAGCACCCTGACCTCACAATTTCTCATCCTTCTCTTTTCCAATGGTTGTCAGCGGCTTTCTGTATCAGAAACGCGCAGATGTAACCACACCTTGAATCTAGTCATCAGATGAAATCACTCCACCTGCAAAATGTTGGCCTGTGAGTTTCCCTCTGTATCCCCAGCCACCTACCCTGCTAACCTCTCTTAGTTGCTAACTCCCATTGAGTCTGCCGTTTGTCCTCAGTGTGACCTCCAGTCTTTGTTTTCATAGTTTATCAGTTATCTCCTATCTTCTCTTATCTTCCTAACCTGTGAGAACCCTTTTATCAACCATTTTAACTGCAGTCTTACTTGTATCTTCAATTCTCTTGACCTTCAGCCATGTTTACCTTGTCAATACTACTTCCTATTTTCCCTTTCCTTGAACTACCAGTGCCACCCCAACATTTATTCTTAGTACAGAACCTTATTTCATTATTCCCTTTAAAAACCAAGACCATCATTTGTATTTGTAAGCATCCATAACTTTTCTCCAGTTTAGGATGCAACCATACATATGTTCTTTTCTTCTTTTTCCTACCAAGAGGAAGGACAACACCTATTCTTTTAAAAAGTTCTTCCTTGTATGTTGGTCCTATTCCTACCAGGGTCAGTTCCCTAGTTTTGTATTTTCATTATTAGCATAAAGTGCCTTAGAAAAACTTTAAAATTAAATATTAACTCAATGATGGGTTGGGGAGCTTTTCTGTTTGTGTTAAAACCTTTGTAACCTAATAGAATCTAACTCACCAAACAGAATTAAAAATAATTCAGTGTAAGGTTTAAAATGAAGTCATTTAAGAAACATTATAATCTGGGGCCTAATAAAGTAAGTTTGGGATAAAAATATGAACTTAAGTTGTAACTAAATTTCCAAGCTAGAAAACAGGAAAAACTCATTTCCTAGCACCTAAACTAAGCAACATTATGATTCAAATTCAGAATTTTTACTGCAGAATAATATATGTTCAGAAAAATGAGCATACTGTGACAGTACAATTTGAAATTTTTTCACAAACTGAACACAACCATGTAACTTGCATCTAGATCAAGAAACAGAACATGACCAGCACCCTATAAGGTTCCTTCTGCCTCCTTCTGGTTATTGGACGGCCACTGCTGACTACTAATCTGACTTCTAACACTGTAGTTTTATGGCTGTCATTTTAAAATTGAGAAGTTAGCAGAAACTTCTTAATGCTATCAGTATTTGCTCATTTTATTTCATTTTAACAAATAACTAAAGCAAAAGATTTTGAAATGAAGTAAGTGCTGCTCTGTTTAAAGGTTAAATACAGATGCAAATTGAAGTGGAAGGAGTCTAGCTTCTTGTTTCTCAGGACCTAGGAAAACTTTGTCAAATAGCCCTGGGCTGGTCAGTGATCTGGCATTACTCTTTCACAAGGGGCTTGGCTTCAGAGAAGGAAAGGCCAGTGAAGAAATGCCAGCCCCAGTCAGGTGCATCTTATTCCCATATGCATTGGATGAAGAAGTCAGGTATGGGGCTGCAGCTTTGAATGGCCCTGACTTGCTTCAGAATACCATCCTGAGGAGTTTGAACACACTTTGCCTTTGTTAACTCTGACACAATTCATGCAGAAGCAGGGGCTTTCCTTTATTGACCCTTCTTTGAAAGAATACTCTTCAGTTATAAAATAGATTCCTTGGCTCCAGGTCTGATGCTTACACTTAAAACTAGATAGGTAACAAGCTATCAACATGAATTTTTAAAAAAAAAACCTGTTTATTTTGTGGGGTTGTATGGCCAGGAATTTCCAGCTCCTTGCCTAGGATTTGGATAAAGATGTAGTACTAATTGCATTAAATAATGACTTCAGCAAATGTGGGTCAGTCTCCTCAAGGGAAGATGGCAGTACCTACCGAAGAGGCAAAAATTAAATGAATGTATTTCCTGAGATAGCTGGAATT